AGGTCAGATCTGGCGATGCTTTGATTATAGATTTTACAACGGTGAAATGGGGTACTGTCTGGGGACTATCTAACACTTGTTACTACTGATGGCTTTTTTTGTTGCTGTTGATGTGAAGTGTTGTTATATTTTTTTTGGCCTAAATTGAATTCATTGTACACACCCAATAGTCCTTTGTTTAATGTGTAATTCAGCTTCCCAAAGTAACTATGTAAAAATAGCAACTTCTCACTTGGCAGATCTCCTTCCTCTGTGTATTTAACCTTTCTGCTTACTCAGAATAATGATAGTATGAATAACAAAGTAAGATTTTTCCCTTATTTATCATTGTGGGCTCCACAGAACACATACATCTTTTGAAGTGCAGCTGGATTTTTTTTTCTGGTTTGTGTAGCCACACATTGATTTACTTAGTTCCAGTTGCAGAGCCACCTGTTGTCTTTATGTCTGTGCAGCCACATCAAAGTCACTTAGCCTGAGGAATCTTTATTAATGGAAGTGGTACCTGAGCCACAGAGAACCCAGCCTGATTTTCAGATCTTAGCCGGCATTTGCAGGGCTGCCAGTTAGGAAAAAATATATTCTAAATGGAGGAAAATCTGATGTGGAAATGATTGGGACACAAGTGTGGAACCCTAGAATGCCATTTGTACCAAGTCACTTCAGAGTAGAACTACACTTTAATTGGAGCTGACTAAAGTATTGGCACTTGAATTGGCAATGCCATTTTTCTTTAACTTCTGGAGTTATATGGGTAAAAGAGTTCACAGCAGACATTGCAACATCAGAGCCATTTAAGTCCCTGATCCTGTAAACATTTAGATAAAGTTTATTATAAAAAGATTACAGAAAAACACTGCCAGCTTGTATGAGTCTTGGGATCTCTCCTTCCAGTGATGAACAAATTCTTGGGAGAAAAGCTAGTTATGCTATTGACTATATATATGTGAGCATATATAACCATACAGAGAAAGTAACCGTTGCCTTGAAGCTTAATCTAAAAGTGAACTTTTAAAATGTCATGGCCTAAAAGGGAATGCTGAAAAATTGAGCACTAAACCTTTAAGGAAGAAAAAACAAAAACAAATAAATTTGCCAGTGCAGTCCTAGTGGGGTTGTTTGAAGAAAGTGGGTCAGGTTTCAGGAAGGCTCTAGTTTGGTGTGACACCTGGAGCTCAGGAATGCAAGCTGGTGGTCAAGCTTCTACTAGACAAACACAGAACTCTGAAGCACTACAACTCTGCCTGCCTGTTGCATCGCTCATTGCTAACAAAGCAGCCACTTTTGCAGAGCTATAGCAAGAAGTCATCCACTATATGCAACCAACACAGATGTTTAGCTTGAGCCATCTCAATTTCCAGGGAGGGGCTCCTGACAGTATTTCTCTGTGTGAAATAGTTAATGTCGTACATGTCTATTTCCCCAAGGCCTTAGAGGACGTGGAGGTGGGTATCTCCAAGAAGTACTGGTTATTTTTAAGGTCTGATCTTTGGGTTGGTTAATCTCGGCTTTATGTGCGTGGACATGCTGCTGGATTTGTAATTGATTTGCATGGAATTTTTTATTGTTTATCGAAAGCACCTAGATCTTGACCTAGATGCTTTTTATTTGTAGGTAAATTAAAATAAGTATGACAAAACATAATGAGTTCTGTTAAATCTTTTGTTTCGGGGGAAATCAGTTACATAGGCAATGATACATGGGGAAAAATACTTGACTCTACTTAAGTGTAAAACAAAATATCATGGGCCGTGATTTACAAAATGTATCCCTAAAGCAAGGCTCACAAAATCCACATTTATATGCTTGAGTAAGTGGCTTGATTGTCAGAAGTGCAGTCCCTAAGGACGTCTCAGTTTAAAAAAAAATCTCCGCTCATGTGAGCACACACATTATTTTCCTAGGCTCTCATCTTGCCCTCACCTGCACATATGAGTAACTCGATACTCAGAAGTGGTCCCATTCAACTCAATCACAAACGTAAGTGTTTGCAAGATCTAGCTTTTATATGGCTCACAGGAAAATGCAATTCGATTCTAAGCACTCATAGCCAGATTCTGACGCCCTTACTCTGAGTTCTCCCATTGCAGTCAATGAGAGCACTTGTCTTGTCAGGTGCTACGCTGCAGGAATAAATGTGCCAAATTCTGGCCCACAATGAACAGAGTTTATCATAAGAAAAGAAACAAAAATCATTCTCACCAGCATTTACAAACTTTGGGGTCTTTCTTCCCCATGATAAAGAATTTTTTTCAAAACCTAATCCCACTGTCGGTGAAAGTGGAATCAACCATCTATGACCATTAAAGTCAGTGGGAGCTTTCCCATTGACTTCAATGAGAGTAGGCTCAAGCTATAGTTGTTCAAACCAATCACCTGCTCACCTATTGGCTATCACTAAACTCAAAGCTCATAGCCTTCCCATGTAAATGTCACAGCTCCTTGAAAAGAACGAAGTAGAAAGTTCAGCCTTTGGAAAACACTTCTTACAGTCCAAAGCAAAAAAAGATCCTGGATTGCAAAAACCGTTTTTGCTGAGGGCCATAATTTCCATATAAATATTTCATACTCTGAAGCTGCAAAATAGTGATGCACAAGATGCTGGTTGGTAGGGATTCTGAATTAGTAAACTGAGGAGTTAAGTACACATGAAACAACGAACATAAATGGATTTTATTTATGTAAGCTATTTTGCCAGTTTCCTCTTTAGTCTTACTTCAATTCATCTTTATGATGAGATAAAGTGTGCATCAAAGTGATGCGAAATTAACTTTGGAGGATCAAAAAATAACTAAATACATTTAGCGAGTTTCAAACCTTATATTGCCTGGAAACAAGTAACACTATGGATTTTCTCATAATTATGTAAGTAAATGCCTAATCTTTTTCCAGAGCGCAATGAAGATTTTTCTATTGCTGATAGGATACACTTACTGCAAGGAAAAAAGATAGAAGAAACCACATGTCAGGTAAAAGAAATATGTTATCCATTCAGCATCTATACTCTAGCCACAGAAATAGCATATTTCCTATATCTATTTGATTTTATAATTGATGTGCATCTGTATTTGGGAAGTGGAGTTTCAAGGAAGAATCAGATGATGATTTGTGTTACATACCACTTTCATTATGTAAACCGTATGCGCTTTAATGCTTTACAGACTTGTTTTTCAAAGTGACTAGGTATCTGTTAAATTAGTACATTGGAATTTTATCTGACAAGACCTGTGCTAAGTGCTTAGAACAATCTGGCACACTCCACATTGGTGTATGTGTCCTTATACTTTCTGAATTTCTATAAACATGTACCATCTCTCCTGACACTCCTCTTCATAAGACTACATTAATTAGCCCACTAGTATGAGCAATTAAGGAAGTCTGACCCTGGGGCCTGCATAATAATAACATAAAAGTAGTTAACAACCTGTCATCAGTTGGTGCAAGCTGAGAAGCAGAGCGGCACAGGAGGAATAGGTGTAGCTAGTGATGGCTCAGGAGTCACAAGAACGTTTTTTCCCCACTTTTATTTCACTTCCAACCAAGAATTTCCCTTCCGCTGTTTTCACTTAAAGGGCCAGAGCCTCATTAGGTGTACATTGGCTTAGCTCCCATGACTTCAATGGAATTACGCCAGCTTGCACAAACTTGAGGATCTGGCCCAAAATATTCCAAAGCACGTAATGTAAGCAAGAACTTAAAAACCTGCGATTTTGGTGGATTTCTTTTTTCAGTACTGTAGTGCATCTGGATGCCAACAATAAACACTGTGGAAGGCTCCTATGTGCGCTTTCTCCACTCGGAGTAAACCCTACAAGGAACAGTCCCGTTGGTTCTGGTTCTTAAAAGGAAAGAACATCCTAGTTGCAATCTCCCACCCTGAGGGCAGCGGGGATGGTACACAGAGCAGGTCAGATCCATCCTGTAGCTGTGGTCTGCTCGGCTCCCATGGTAGATCAGAGATGACACATTACAGTAAGTAGAAGTTAGGGTGTCCCTGGGAAGGAGAGGGAGATTGGTGACTGGAAAACTGCTTTGGTCCTGCCTCCTTCTGCTTCCCCTCAGAGCCCCTTCTGTAGCAATATTGTTGGCAGAGGGAGTGGGTCTTATTCCAGTGTCTCCCACAAAAAGCAGGTATGGAGGGTGTGGGGGGGGTTGGCTTCCTTCTCCCCTTGTTTCTCTCTGGGCTTTCTGTTCTCTTCCTCCCTCTCTTGCTGCTAAGTATTAGGAAGCTTCCCTGGTCTCTGCCATCCCTCATCAGTGCAACAGGATTTGGGGTGTGCTCCACAATTCTTTCTCTCCTCTCATTCCCATCAGTTTGGGGGATCTATGGTACTGTTCCCCTACCCCAGAGGAGCAGCAACTGAGGTGTCTCTTGTTGCTTCCTGGATGGATTCCTAGGAGCTCATTCTCGGGCATCAGAACTAGAGACGAGGTTTATTTTTGCTTTGAGCCTAGGAATCTCCTAGAGGCCTTTGAAACACCACAAAAAACTCTAGCCAAACACTTTAAAAATGGCCTCTAATTTTGGCTGCCTCCATTTTTGTTTTGATCTCTCAAAGGAAGCTGGAGCACCTCTAAGTTTTGATGCCAGTTTGAGACTTGCAAGATATGATTTTTTTTCCAGTGGCTGATTTTGAAAATATTGGCCTTTTTATGGATTTATTTTAGAATAACAACTTTACTGAACGGTTATTACCCCTGCCATCTGTGAGAGTGAGTGAGGCTCAGTGTAAAATTGATGTAGTTGCCTTTTTTAAGTCTCTGAAATGTTGTTATCATCATTTTTCACTTCCACTTTTTGTCCAGGATCTGAACTGGAAGAGCCCAACATTGTGGGAATGGTGAATAGAATAAGCAAACATTTTATTATTTCTCTCTCAACTTTAAAAATAATCTAATAGACTTCTCTGAATGCTTTTAAAACTTAAACCCCTCTTCAGCCTACAACTTGATGCCTGATTTTATTCCAGGACTATATGAAAAGCCCTGAAAAAAAGGGGCGTGCAAGGGAAATACAGTTTGAGGTTGAGCAGCACGAATGGTGGCCCTGCAATAATTATAGCTTACTATAAAGCGTATCTCATGGAAGCTTTACTCTCAGCATTTATTTTCATATCCTTGTTCTTGTTTGTTCTTCTCTGGCAGCACTCACTTGATGGCTCAAACCCGTTGTAGCATATTGGGAAGGATATCAAATATGAAATAATAGTCTTTGGGCTAATACATTTTCAAAAATGTTTCATGCCTCATTTCTCATGTAAATTCTTAGATTGCATTCAGCCTTCAAAATGTCATTCATATTCATGAAGAAAAGAGGGCTAGCATTCATTACTTTCACTGATAAGCTATAAGCACTGTCAGGCATGCCCACCAGGGACTGCATCAGTGTTTTCTCCATGATGTTCCTATCATGGGGACATTATGACCAGAGGAATGGTTTATGGACACATGATAAAAGCATGTGGTCTGTTCTTTTCTTATTTCCTAGACCTCTGAGAATCCTTCCACTCCTGCATTTTTAACCTTATTCAAACTCACACCCTCAAGGTTCTTCATTCTCACCCACTAGCCTTCTAGCTAAAGAGGCCTGATGGAGACACTCTTTGGGAATCTATTAGTGCCATTCCTACATCAGCTGGAGGAATCATTGTTGAGAATAGTCTGGTTCTCTGTAGCATTCCCAACCCCTAACAGTCTGGAGGGTGGAGAATCGAGACCCGAGCATCCCAGCTGGCAATGTACAGCTCTGTCACTAGATCAGTGGGCTAACCCCTGATCTGCTCATATATGCAATGATGAACCCAACTTGCGATCAGCAGAAAGGGAAAATAATCTTAGTTCTGAGACAATTGATGAAATAAACACAACACCAAACTGCCTTCTGACAAATCCAAAATGTTGAAGTGTCAGATACAGTTTTTATACACAGGCAGTACAACTTGGAGAGCTTGCGGAGCTCTCACAGTTCTGTTTTATAACATTTGCTGTTACATTCATGTTTTTTTCATATACTATCTATTGGGTTTTTTTCCTTATGGTCAAGGTGATGACTTATGAACAGTGGATCCCACCTCGAGTTCACGGTCTGACTGAGCCCAGTAATAGTGAAATGGTGAGTTATGATGAAAACTTTTGTATTTTTCCTCAAATGAGAATGTTCTGCAAGAGTGGATAGTTTGACCAAGATTTCTTTCAAAATTTTGGGATCTGAAATCCAGTGAAAGCCCTCTTTCCAGATCTACAGTATTAGTGGCAGTGATTATATCCTTTATGGAAACAGAATTTCTAATTCCTGTTAGGTGTTCTTTCCTCATGGAACCACACATCTGTTGCCCCCACCATCAGCCCTGCTTAGTTAGGCCAAATGGTAGGTTGAGGCCCAGGGTTAAAATAGCAAGATTACTGAAAGGTCAGGGTTGAGTTTTATGAGCAGGGATGTGTGAAAGAATTTTTCACAGTACTGCCTGCATCATGCCTGACCATTGCTCTAGTAACTTTCCTGAGTACTATATTAACCCAATTTTCTTGATTTAAAAAATCAGCACGTTTTGCAAATCAGTTCTACCATACAAATGCAGCAGCAAATGTTTTATCATAGCATAGAATTCACATATTTATAGCCCATCTGGAAATGACATTGGAAACTACCAATACTTTCCAAAGAAATATTATAAAAATATTTCTCATAGTTAGATCATCATAATACTACAGACAGGAAGACAGGTTTATTTACTCTGTTATGTTTAGTTTGCATTTTTGCAAGGCTAATAATTGCTATGTAGTTGCATAATTATTTGGGACCTGCAAACTGGTTTAGAAAAGAATCACACAGGCCAGATTCTGCCATGCTTATTCATGCTGAGAAACACCATGCTTCACAAGTAATCTGACTGAAACCAACGTAGTTTCTCCCCAAATTAGGTATTACTAAAAATGAGTAAGGGTGTTAGGATCTGGCTGATAGTGCAGTTCACTTTTATTTCAAAATGCTGTTTTATCACCAGATTAATCCACCCAACAGCTGTGGGAGTAGGGCTGTCCAATGTATTTGTTGGGAACAATTTATCGGGCCAAATGTAACCCTTTTCTGTTCACACATTTTTCATGAATAGACTTTTTAATATTTATAAATTTGTTATTCATTAGTGTTCAAACTGTGTATGCAAGTAAAATTCAACTAATGGGTGGGTTGTTTACTTAGATTACTCATTACTAGTTATTTGTGGTGTGTGTTTAGTCACCTAAATGACATAGTATTTCTGCATGACTAAAACTTGTTAAACTGGAGAATAATGAATATGCATGTGTGCATAAAGGCTCTTTCTCTGAGGTATTTGTGGTGGGGACAAAAAGCCATTCCCCAATGTTTGTACAAAAACAAATACTCACCCAGAGTACGGGAACGGGGACTAAAAGGAGTCCCAAATGTGGTTGAAGTGAACAGCTGTTTGGAATTCAAACATCTGATTATGAACACTGTTTTTCAGTATTCACCCAGTGCTCTCTATTAACTATTATCCTAGTTTTAGGGAGGGAAAATGCAGAAAAGAGACTTCCTCAAGATCAGGTTGCATTATCATCAGAGCCAGTAGAACAAGTAGTTCTTGTCTCAGCAATCCTGAGCTGAGACTACCTGGGATGCTGATTCTCACTTAAAATAAGTACCCAGTAGAATCTTTGCCTGATACTGGAATCAAAACTTTAACATTTTTTTCACACCTTCACTTGGTGGTGGTGGCTGAGTGTTACAAAGAAATTATAAAAAACAGCCATGAGATGGCTGTTCTTGTGACACTTGCCCACTCATCTGGAACAAGTAAGCACTAGAAATCTTACAGAATAGCCAACTCTCGTGAGATTCAGGGCTTTGGCAGCATAGTTAACTCCCAGTATAACTTGAGAGTTAGCCCTCACCCAACAACTGAGCATGCACAATAATCTCTAGCTTGATCAAGCTAGCTGGTCCATCAGGGTGATGGGTTGGAGCTTGAATGCCACCAAGATTCAAGCTAGTAGTGCGGTAGGGACTCAACTTCAGTGTAATTTCTAGAATAAGACAATTCAGCTATGTTAGGATAAGCAGCCAAACATTTGGATTTGGATGCTTAGTCAAAGCAAAACTCCAGATCTTCTAAAAGCTCCCCTGCCACTAATAGATATTACAAGGTTATCTGTGTCCATACCAGATAGCTATTTTGTTTATTATTACATTTAACTAACATTAGACACTCCCCAATAAGTGCTTTTTAAAAAAAACAAAACAAAAGAGGATTGCACTTTATCCATTAGTAAAATTATCTGAGTAGATTATGCACCCTTTTATCTTGATGTCCCCTAAACATAAATCCCAGATCAGAACCCCAGATCAAAAATTCCTGGGCCTGACTCTGCATTGCCCTTGTGTAATCATTGACACCTGTGCAAAGCGAGTGCTTATCAGAGTTCTCCACTCATACACAAGTGTTAACATTTTGCACTCCCTTTGGCACATGCTTTGCAAAGTAGATTCATGAGGTCCCAGACAGGGAGAGAATTAAATCCCATATTTCTGCACTGGTGTGAACCAGAACCTGAATCTGAACATGCTTGAGCTGTGGGGGCTTTGAAATCTGACTCAGAACCTACCGGGTGTTTGGATTCAGCCAAAGACTTGCACTGAGAACTCAGGTCCAACGTTTTGGACTTCTCACTGTATTTCTCATGAGAGGCTCTAGGGCTGGGTTCTCAGCTGGAGTAAGCTAGCATAGTTCCACTGAAGTCAAGGGAGCTATTCTAGTGCTAGGGAGCTGGCTTCTAATGCCTAAATTATATAGAATGTACAAATATTGAAACTCATTTAATCTTTCAGACAGTGTTCTGATGAAACGTTTCTCTGAGTTATGCTTGGTTCAACACAATTTCTACTATTCTATGACATCTCAAGAGCATATTGCTCTATAATTTTTGCTCCATTATTTTTTTCAGTCCTTTAGCCCTGTCCATTTCTTATAAACTCAATGCAACTTGTGCACTGCAAGGGCTATAGTTTAGGTTGCAAATCAACTTTGATTAGAACTTGCTTAGGATTTAGTACTTTGTGGGTTTGCCAATGGCCACTATTGTTCCAGCAAGACAGTGAAACAAAGTCACAATGCAGTACCTTCCTTAAAAACACCATTTGCCTTTCCACTGCACATTTAGTGAGTGTTTATTTCTGCTTGCAGCAGTTTCAGGGCTCAACACACCAATATCTGAACTGCTGGCATCCAAAGTGTGGAAATCTCTATTGACAAGCATTGTTAGGTTGATCCATTGAGCAGTATTTTTGAAATCTGAAATGAGTGTATGTTGTGTCTCCTTTATGATGGCTATTGCTGGATGCTACTCTGTACCGTGTGAATGCTTGTGCTCCGTAAGTGCCTCATCCTACATTTCCTGCACCAAAGTGAGAGCTGAAGGCATGTTGAATCTCTCAAGCTCAATCCTTACGTAACCTACCAGTGTGCATTAATTAGACTGTGCTGGCAGAAATGATGCAGACCCGACCTCCTTTTCTGTCTTTGTCTTGGCGTGGAGGATTATGCATATGAGGAAGCAGAAAGGAACTTTGATGTGTGACTTAATTGGTGGGGAGAGTGCAACAAGGTCTGTGAATTACTTGCTGATAACATCAGCATTGGCAATTAATCATTTGTAATATTACGGAAGAGGTTTTGACATACTAGACTAAATTCTCTGCTGCTGTAAATGGGAGGCACTCCACTGAAGTCAATGGAGCTAGATCCATTTACACCAGCAGAGAATATGCATTTAATTAGAAGATCATAGTTAGCATTGTGCCAAAATCCACCATTGTAAAACACAACCATTCATAGTTTTACTCCTTTTATTTATTTATGTTTGCTGGTTTCCACTGAAAGGCAGTTACCACAGGTGCCATTTGACAATGGGAAACAGCTTGCTTGCTACTGAAACAGAGAATTTCTGCACCCAACTCCAAGGAGAAAGTCGCAGCTGGGAATAGAACTCAGGAGTTCCTGGCTCTCTATATGCCCTATGTTCAATCCACTCTATGTCTACAGTATATAATAATATAGCCATTTATATTAATAAATACCGTTTAAATCCAAATTCTCTAATAGTTACACACATAGAGATGTTACTTAATACTAGAAGCCTTTGGAACCTAAACTCCAAACTCCTGGAGGATTGTTTGTACCTAATAGGTTTTGTGATGTTGGAAAATGCCCAGTAAATGTCTTATTTTCTGGATGACTTGAAGTTAAGCTAGGAAGAGAAGAAAGGCCCCAGTTTAGGGAAACATCCCTATTCAGGAAAGCACTTAAGCACAAGTCCAATAGCTCAACAGAGCTGAGATGTAAGCACATGTTAAAAGTAGAGCACATGCTTAAGTGCTGCCCTGAATAGAAAAGGATTTTAAGCCCATCCTTAAATGCTTGCTTGAATTGTGGTTTCAAAAGCAAATGCTTTTGCCTGGTGATATTAATCAGTTCTGTGGAAGTTTCCACACCATTCGGAATCATCACATGTAATTTGAGGGCTGTGATATTTGGGAGCCACGAAGGTAAGCAGCATGTGCACAGAGCTAGGGCTGATGGGTCTCCTGATTTTCCTGTCAAGTTTTTTCTCGGGTTGCCCTCTTGTCATCACATACGTGACCTCAAACGTGCCGCTCGAGACTCACCTTCCAAAGCCACTGCGGAGATGATTAATCCTCATCTTGTTCACTGATCCAAAGTGCGTGGCTATGATGCTGAACTTCCTTGCTCCTCAAAATAAACAATAGAACAGGGGTCGGCAACGTTCGGCACGCGGCTCGCCAGGGTAAGCACCCTGGTGGGCCGGGCCAATTTATTTACCTGCTGACACGGCAGGTTCAGCCAATTGCGGCCCCCACTGGCTGTGGTTCGCCGTCCTGGGCCAATGGGGGCGGCGGGAAGCCGCGGCCAGCACATCGCTCGCTCGCGCCACTTCCCGCCGCCCCCATTGGCCCGGGACAGTGAACCGCGGCCAGTGGGGGCCGCGATCGGCCGAACCTGCCACGTCAGCAGGTAAATAAACTGGCCCGGCCCACCAGGGTGCTTACCCTGGCGCGCTGCGTGCCGAACGTTGCCGACCCTGCAATAGACCATCTTTATAGTACATTATAATGTTTATTATTTATTCTCATTTTTATTTTGTTTTTCAATTAGGTTCCAGAATCAGACGATAATAAAGCTGAATCAATGGGAACATTAAAACGATTGCAGAAATTGGTCCGAACCAAGAAAGCCAGTATACATAGTTTGGATGATGTCAAACATGTTTTGATACCTCTCAGTAAGTAAAGAGCCATTTTAGTGTACTCGCACACATTTGGAAAATGTCACTTTGCTGAAAAAGGTATAAATGATCTTGCTTTGATCTGGGCTCGGCTGTCATTGAAAGTCATTCTAGATCCTCTTTTCAACACCTTAGATGCCATACCAAATGTCACTGCACTGCTATGATATCATAACAAAGGTGATATGTGGAAAATTATTTCCCATTACATCCATTTATATTTAGTAATAAATACTGTTTCTTGCAACTGAGGGGGCTTGTGGGGAGTTATCCTAAATAGCTGAATAGAACACCCAGGCTTTCATCTTGGGGCCATTGTGTTTTTTATCAAGTTTCTCAGCTTTATCTCACATTTTGCATGAAGAAGGCAAAATGCACAGAAGAAAAGATGATGTTTATCAGTCCTTGAGTCAATAGTAGTAGGAGGTGCCAGAGAAAACAACAATCTGTGGCACAAGAAGTAGGTTTTTGTTGCAACACACCTGATTGCTTGGAGTATCCCAAAGTTGATGCCAAGCAGGTATTCTAAAGCTGATGCTGAACCCAGGTTATTTTCAAGTGCTTTCACCAGATCACCGATCAGATTGTGTAGCCGTTCTTTGCCTAAAGTGCAAGCATTAGCATAGACATATGGTGCATTTATGTATAGGGTTATTTTTAAACTAATCCCAGAAAAATGAGTTGAGATCATTTAATGAACTGCTGCCCCGGCCGGATCAGTGATGCAGTGAAACCACATGAGGAGATTCAGAGTTCAGCAGCTACTTTGAGATTTCCATGCATAAACTATGAGTAGGTGAATTATTCAGGAAAATATTCTGGTTTCTGTCAATTAGTCTCCTAAACCAAACTCACACATTGTGTGAGTATTGTATCATAATGATGTTTGTATAATGAAGTCACCATATTCAATGCAGAAATTACCATTATAATGCCCTATGGAACCAGCAAAATTCTCCAGGCTTCTGAGGGAAAGGCAAGATATTTTATCAAATGGAAAATAAATCCTGCTTTAGCTCTAGAGGATAGAGTCGTTGACCTATTAATCGGTCTTTTCCATCTCTCTAATTGCCATTATTCTTTGAGTTTATAGAGTTTTTGATTGCTTTCAGTATATACAACTCATTGGGCAACATTGCAAATGGTAGCAAACGTTCTGACTGCAAATGCAACATGTTGTAAAAAGAAAATCTTTTACATTTTTAAAGATCCACCTCAAGACTCCTGTCTCTCTGAAGAGGAGGAGGAAGCACTGATTTCCTGCATGAAACTAACCAAGTCCCAGGAAAAGAAGGTCTGGAAAGACAATGCTAGGCTAAAGAAAGAAACTGACACTAGAGCAGATTTTATTTCTGCTTCGTTGGGAAGATCTTATACTTCTAGACTGAGCAATATAGGAAATATTTCCATCCATTCAGAAACTGAATTTCAGCTATGGAGTGACTGGAAGCCCTTTCCCAATAATCAGCTCTGCCCATGTGATTTTGTGATCTCAAAAATAGAAAAGTGGGAAAATTGTACTTGTTGTTCTCATCATCCGCATCTTACTTGCTCCGTCACTGATGTGGATCTTCCATATTCATGGGTAAGTGGTTTCCTTTGCAGTTAAATGTGTCAGAAGTGGAAACTTATTGAACATCAATTTAAGAGTCACTAGAATTTAACACATGGTTATCAAAAGTGAAATAATGAGGGGGGAAATTCAAAAGGTCAAATTCAGATCTGATGTGAACAGCTGAACTCCATTTGAGTTGCGCCCACTTACACCAAGTTTGGATTTGGTCCAGGATATACAACTTGCAACAACATAAATACCAATGGTGCAGCGTTTTAATATTTTACACCACCATGTGATCTACCAGGGTGTTTAAACTTAGGATCTTTCTATATGTCTGTACAACAGTATATTAGGTTCTTTAGACATTCTCGTACGGCGTGATCCAAAGCCCACTGAAGTCAATGGGAGCCTTAATTGAATTAATGTGATACTAGTAATGAGCTCCAAAATTCTATCCAGAGGAATATCAGCAACCGGTGCAATTGGTAGTGGTAATGTTTGTGCCCTTTGTATCAAGAGGGACTTGATTTTGAGGGAAATTTTGTGGCTCTCGGGGATTCATGTAGCCATTGCTAGAGATGCAGAGTTTGATCTCCATTTGGAATAAGCTTTTTTAAAAAAGATTGTTTTAAGGGTTGTTTAAGGCTTCAAAGGCCCAGAGTGTGCCTGGATTGCATGGGGATGGAATGGTGCAGGGAGCCCTCCCTTCCCTTCATTGCTCAAATTTCAGCTCCTGCACTTTACACAGAGTAGGGATTGTTCCCTGCTAGCATCTACTGAGCTACTAGTTGCCGAAAGAGGTGCTGGGAAGAACCAAACAGTGGCCTCTAACCCTCACTGCGTCATGCCCATTTACTTCTGTTGTACTCGTGGGAGAGTCTGGTTCTCAATGTGCAGTGAGCACAGCCCTGAGGGAGCAGAGGCTGCTGCTGCCATCAGCTGGTGTAGTGGCCAGAGGGATACTCAGGTAACTGAAATGTTAGATCAAAGACTTCAGCCTTGTTTTGGATTATATTGAAGACAATGTGAGGTTTTCCCATTTTGCCTTGAATACATTTTTGGTTGGGAATGCTGTAGACACGCCTCACTTAATATGAACATACGGTGGAAACATCAGTGTCCTTTCAAAAAATTCTGTTTAGCTTTTCACACAAATACTGTGGTTGAGATTTGTCCAGCGCAGGGTCAAGGTCAATTGCCAGCAAGAGTTGTTTTTTATTTCCTTTTTAGCGGGGGGGGGGGGGAGGCATCTGTTATTGAGCCATCTGCTTTCTTAATTAATAGTTTTCTCCCTGATTTTAATTTATCTTTGTGGGTTTAGACTCTTTAGATTCAGATTATAGAAGAGGGCGAGACATCTCATTCTCTCCATCTGCATCCTACCAACCGGCTCAACAAAAGATTACAAGGATTAGATTTTTGGTTTTGCTTTTCAAGAATCAGTAGACGCCAGAAGTGGCTGTTTTGCATGTGAAGGAATCAGATTTAGGGGATGAAGTGGATGGCAATTTTGATGTTGATTTATCTATAACAGTAAAAATAGTGTATTTGAAAATATTGCCATCAACCCAATTTATAGTTAAGGAGTTTTAGTTTTATTGGCTTGGCTTGGCAGATATTCTCCTGCCTTTGGTCAAGTGTGAGGTGGAACAGACAGACTGAAGTAACTGTAATACTAAAATAGATGTGGTTATGCCCTGTTTTAATGGGGCAAGAGGAGGGGAAGGGGAACACTCTACACACAAGAATAAGTTTCCAGGACTCATTTCAAATAGACATGCTGTCTCTGATCTAGTTTGGGGATGGGAGAGCACCTACATTTTAGGTTGGATGCAGTGTCATCCAGCCATGCCTTGGTTATGTACGCAAACTTGGGGACCTCAGCTTTACTTAAATCATGAATGGTTGGTGCCTAATTAAACGGTGGCCTCATTAGTCAGCATGAAAGAAAGACATGAATCTCAATCTGACACCCTACCTTCCTGAGAGATAAGGAACAAAAAAAACCCAATGGAACCAAGACTAACTCACTCCAGGTTTTCCCTTCTGACTACTTCTCCTGCATTGTCTCTTCCTACCCACTACCTCAAGTTTCAAAACCAAGTGTCCCTTTTCCCAATTCTTCTCATCCCCAATGCATGGCAGCATTGTTGTATCTTCTCAGCCATTTTAAGATGGCCTTCAAAGTGCTACGACTGGGTGCCAGAATAAGCAACTCTAGGACTGACTACAAAGGGTATTCATCTTCTGTCATGGCAAATCTGCACCTCACTGACCCATTCTATCCATCCAGATCTCTCACAACTACTCAATTGTAGAGAAACCCCAACCACATGGAACCCTTCAAACTCCTCTAGCTAAACTTTCCCCTGTCCTTCCTAATTCAGGCCATAGTAGAAGCATGCCTTGCTCTGATTCTTTCCTCTGTGAGTGTCAGAGAGAGAGAGAGAGAGAGGGAACTAGGATCTCATGTACTGTCTCCAGCTTTATTATTATATGAAGGCTCATTATGTAGCATCAGAGCACTTTCAGATTTCAGTTCTGTAACAACGTAATATACAACCACATGGATGAATAGCTTCATTATCGGTCTATAGCTAAAGCACCATCTGTGCCTCTTCCACACGAGTTAACTTAGACACAGAGCGTTTTTCTGCATTGTTTACCCATTGAAAATATAATGGGAAATAGAGCAAAATTTTGCTGGGGACAACAGACCACCTTTTTAGCTTTTTGGAATCTCAGATGGTTTCTCTGTGCAATTATTGATATCAGCGCGTGTCCTGGAAAGATGTTATTCTTAGGAGAAAGTTTAGTATATTTAAAAGATGTACTGAATGATTCTTCAAAAATTAAAAGGTACCTATAGACACCGAAACTACTTTGCTGCATGCAACACTACTTCAAAGTGTGTCGAGTAGAGAAATGAGTGTTACAGCCCAGTGTTAAATACTGTAATGTTAAGTGTCAGCTGAAAAACAGGAGGAAATAATGATCAGATGCCAGTTTAATAAGCACTTGACCTTTATGAGGGTGGTAGTTCCTTTTTTTTGGTCTCTCGCTCTTTCTCAAGCTATTCCACCAACGTCAGTTGTTTGTGGCTTGGACTTTTCTTAACACTTTGTGGATTACTAGAAACTCTTCTTGTGCTATCTATAATTTAGAAATCTTGCTATCCAGACAGGGCAATAGTCTACTTAGAAGTGCCACATCCGGAAAGCAGTGATCATAGCACTAGGGCTAACCTCCAGTTGTTAAAAAAAAACAAAAGTTTTGTTTGGTATTTTTATCATAGTCCCATACACTGTATTCAATACAGGACAAAATAATTGCTTTACAAAATATGTTATACTATTTATTTATTTATTTATTTTATAGAAGTATTTTGATCTTGAACTTGAACAAAACAGTAGCCCAAGTATTTCTTTGAAGTATATCTTTCTAATGTCACACTTGCGATACTAATATATTCTTGGCTGGGTAACCTTTATAAGATATTGTAATGGACCATCATGTGGGTGCTATCATGAGTATTGTGGTATACCAAAAGTTTTCAGACAGCTGTGTGGCTAGCGTACTGTGACTGGGTCCCCGGAGTGCAACCTGGACTGTGGGACTGCTGAGCCTGCTATCCCACCAACACCGGCTGGCCCTCACACTGTGATGCTGATGTCAAGTTACAAGCCTCTGACAGGCTTATACAGCCATCCACAGGTAGGGACATACCCAACTATGTTACATGAATGATCTCCCAGCCACTCATGAACCAACAATAAAGAGACGCCAGGCAATTCCTCCCTGCTCCCCAGCCTCGCACCCCAGAGCTGTACCATCTTGCATTGGTCAGAAGCCTGGCCTGTAAAAGTTCATTACCCAGTCCACCCCACCCTCAATGTGGAATGGACATACGCTAGCCTTTGTAAACTGAGCTGAGATTTCCCAAGCACTTCAACCAAAAGACACTATTTTAGGTAAAATATAAAACAGATTTATTTACTACAGAAAGATAGATTTGAAGTGATTATAAGTGGTAGGCTTAAAGGTCAAACTTAGTTACCTTAGGAAATAAAAATAGAAACATGCATTCTAAATCCTAAACTTTTAGTCTAAGCAAGAGTTAAATTATATAGTTTTTCTCACCCTGACAGATGGTACAAGCAGGTTACAGTTTCTCAATATACAGACTGGAACTCTTTTCCAGCCTGGGACCAAACTTCCCTAGTTGAAACTCTTTGTCTTCCAGACGTGTTTCTGGGTGTTGAGATGAGGGGGCGAGGGAGGGGGAGGAGTGAGGCCAAGTGATGCTATCACTTCTCTTTTATGCTTTCTTCAAGCTTTCTGGAAAGATATTTGTTGTGACGTGGGTTAGTTCACCCCCAAGGTGTACGTGCCTTCTCCGAGAAGTTTCGCAGATAGTGGATTGTGTGTTGAGCTGTTAATCAGCTGTCTGGCTATTGATGGCTACTCCTTTGATGCAGCTGAAAGGCTGGCTTGTGGGTGTTCCTGATCTCACAACGTATTTCAGTAATATATATATATATATATAGCAATATTTCATAGCCTGGTGTATAATGACAGCACATATAATCCCACAGAATATTAATATTCAACAGATCAACACTTTTAAAATGATACCTCATAAGGCATACTTTCTATAAAACATATCATCATTGTATGCCAGTAGTGACTATGGGGGTTCCGGGGTGCTACTTTGAAGTACAGAGTGTCACACATACCAAGTACATTGTTGTGAAAGATGGTGTGGTCCATTGTGTAAAACAGTGGCCTGGGATGCAGAAGATTTGAGTTCTGTTTCCTACTGTGCCATTGAGCTGCTATATAAGTCACGTAATCTCTTTTAGAAAGTTTTTTTATTCACTTTCCCACAATTGGGGTAAATTTATTAGATCCCAGTTATTACAACAGTGGCTTATTCTTCCCCATCTGCAAAATGAGAATAATAATTCTTATTCCACCCTTTCGCAAGGTGCTTTGAGATCTACAGCTGGTAGGTACAAAATAAGTGC